GGTGCGGTCCGGTGCGGTGCGAGGGGCAGTGGTCTGGCCGCAGCTGGGAGGCGTGGGGCCGGGCAGCTTGCGTGCCCGGGGGGCGGCAGGGAGCCTTCGGCCTGAGCGTTTGCTGAGCGCTGTAGGTGTCTCTCTCTGAGATGCTGCTGTGCGCTTCTAGCGTAATCCAGAACCTATTGAGGAGCTGTTCCAACTGTCGAACTTCTGTCGGTTTCTGTTGGTTTTTTAATTGATGAAAGCTTAAACCTTGAAATATGTACTGGTCGAGAAATGAAAACATGAGTGGCCAGGGCATGAAGAACGGATGGCTTCATGCTTAACGGGGTGTAGAGGGAAAGGAAACTACTGACGTGATAAACCTGAAACTGCTACATCTGGGAAATTTGAAAGTGTCATAACTGAAAGAGCTCAGCTGTGAACCTTGAGTAAAAAGAACTGCATCTAATACATACGTGTGATCTTTTATTTTTGAACCAGCTACAGAAAGATTTGGAAGAGGTTAAAGAATTGCTTACGAAAGCCACGAGGAAGCGGCTTCATGATGTCCTGATGACAGAGAAACACAAGCTAGAGCTAGAAATCAAGAATCAGCCTACACCGAAGCCAAAAGATGCGGCAGAGGAAGAAAAGTTGTCACTGGGAGGGTACACAGTGAAAATAAACAATTATGGTAGGATTACTTTTCTGAACGCTTACTAGAGCTCAGGCATCTCTCTGAAGAGAAGGCAGGGTGGCGTTAGTGGGAGTTACGGTTGCCACTTAGCATTATAGAGAAGCCTTCTTAAGTGTTTATTTTGTACTGGAAACCCCACTTTAAAAGCTACTACATGCTTACTATGCCATCCCAACCACAGTGTGTATTAATTCTGTTTATGTGATAGTACTGGTGGGATGCGTTAATGATCCCTGGTATATCAACTAGTATTTTTCCATTGCCTAGTGCTTAGCAGGAATGGAAGAGTGAGCTTTAGCTTCTCTGCTCACCATGTAGGTGAAAGGAGAGGGAATTGCTCAAGATACTTGTCATGCAGGGAGCAGGGGAAGAAGTGGGTCAAGGAAACTGCAGCAAAAGCAGGCAGCTACCTCTGACTCCCCCTGCTCAGACAGAGTTGCTCTCCTTTTACCTGAGCTGATACATGGCTTTTCTCAGAATTTGCAGGAATTAGGGAACAGGGCTACGTGTGAGGACCTCATTTTGCTCTCAAAGTATTCTTGAATAATTCATGTCTTTCCCTTATCCCTCTGAAGATTGTTTCAATAAGGCAGAGGTCTTAGTCATTGCTAGGGGACTTTGCGGGAGGAGTTGGAATGGGATGCATGAAGTTTATGGAGGAAAGCTAGAACTGAATCTCTTTTTTTTACTTGCAGGCTGGGATCAGTCAGATAAGTTTATTAAGATTTACATCTCTTTAAATGGAGTCCAGAAGCTTCCAGCTGAGAACGTGCAGGTGAATTTCACAGAGAGGTGAGTTCATCTTGTTGCACCACACCACAGGGGAGAGCATGGATGAAGAACACTATTTGAAATGCAAGAGTGTGTTGTGTTGAGTTCTGTTCTGGATCCGCATTTACCCCCCCCCCCCCCCCCCTCTTTTTTTTTTTTTTTCTCTTTTTTTTTTT